GAAGCACTGGAGACCCATGCTGCACCTTATCCTGACCGAGGCATGTTCCTAAACAACCTGGCTAATGCAGTACAAACACGGTTTGAGCAACGGGGTGATCCCAAGGACATTGATGAAGCTATCGCTTTGCACAGAGAAGCACTAAACATCCATGCTGCACCTCATCCTCTCCGGGGGGACTCCCTCAACAATCTGGCTAATGCAGTACAAAAATGGTTTGAGCAACAGGGTGACCCCAAGGACATTGATGAGGCTATCATCTTTTACAGAGAAGCACTAGAGATCCATGCTGCACCTCATCCTCACCGAGGCATGTCCCTCAACAATCTGGCTAATGCAGTACACGCACGGTTTGAGAAATGGGGTGATTTCAAGGACATTGATGAAACTATCACCTTGCACAGAGAAGCACTAGACATCCATGCTACACCTCATCCTCTCCAGGGTGGCTCTCTCAACAATCTGGCTGCTGCAGTCCGAAGACGGTTTGAGCTACAGGGTGATCCCAAGGACATCGATGAGGCTATCACCTTGCACAGAGAAGCACTAGACATCCATGCTGCACCTCATCCTCGCCGAGGTGGCTCCCTCAACAATCTGGCTCTTGCATTCCGCACACGGTTTGAGAAACAGGGTGATCCCAAGGACATTGATGAGGCTATCACATTATATAGAAAAGCATCAATGTACATGTATTCTTCCCCACTCACTCGCTTTTCTGCTTCACTTAACTGGATCAAGTGTGCCACCAAACATAGCCATCCGTCCTTAGTGGATGCTTATCATACTGCCATTAACCTCTTACCACAGTTAGCGGCATTTTCATTGGATCTCAAGTCTCGCCAACAAATGTTGGCCAGAAAAGACATTGTATCGCTTGCTTCTGCTTCTGCAACTTATGCTATTGGGCTGAGTCAGAATAATGTTGCTGTGGAATTCTTGGAGGCTAGCCGCTCAATTTTTTGGGCACAAGCACTACAGCTCAGAATTCCATTTGACAAATTAGAAAATATCAAACCAGAGCTTTCCACTAAGCTTAGGCATTTATCTCAGCAATTGGAGCAGGCTTCCTTCCGAGACACCTCCCAGAACATCTCTATGAATACTCAACACCACCTCAGGTCCATTGAGGCTGTGGCATCTCAGTGCCGCAAACTCAATGAAGAGTGGGATGAGACTGTCAATGCTGTTCGAAAGGTGCCAGGGTTTAAAGATTTCCTCCAACCCAAAACCATTGCTTCCCTCTCTCAGGCAGCAGCATCTGGGCCAGTCATCATATTGCTTGCCAGTGGCTCAGCTTGTTCTGCTTTGATTGTAAACTCCACTGAGGGTGTACAGCATGTGCCACTCCCCAGACTAGAGATTCGAACAGTTGAACACTACTATGCTGATCTGCCTCATGCACTTTCAGGCAAAACTTTCAATTTCAACCACTTTTTAGAAGCTCATAGATGTGAAGAGCCTTCTACGCAACCATCTGACTTGGAAGCTCGGCTCTATGGAGCACGGGAGGGCCATCTCAATATGAGCCCAAATCATGTCTTTGGCAAGGTTTTGGCGGAAATTTGGCAAGAAATCGTGAAACCGGTCTTCAAGGTCCTGAAATTGAAGGTAAGTTCCAAGTTCTTTCCACTTTACATTTCTGAGATTCAAGTTACCCTTTGCGCAGAAGTCAGAAAATCCTTCTCGCTTATGGTGGTGTCTAACTGGGCCTTTTTCTTTTGTCCCTGTTCATGCAGCAGGGATTTATGACACGGATGCAACAGACTGTGTTTCAGATTATGTTGTTTCATCCTACACACCCACCTTAACAGCCTTGTTGGATCCTCCAGCACACATTCCAGCCTCTTTCAAAATGACGGCTGTCATTGAACCTCATGCACCAGGCTGCTCTGATCTTCCAGGTACAGAGATGGAGCTGGAAAAAATCAAGAGCAGGGTCCCTAGTCAATGGCTCACTTCCTTGAACAGCCCTACTCAAGACATAGTCATGGATCATCTCCAGATTTCATCGGTGGTCCACTTTGCATGCCATGGAATTCAAGATTTAGAAAACCCCCTTAACAGTGGCCTCATTCTCTCTGATGGTCGCCTTGATGTGTCCCGGATCATGCATGCACCAGTGAACAATGTTACAGCAAACAGCATGAAACTGGCCTTTCTCAGTGCATGTGAAACAGCAAAAGGTGATGCAAAGACACCTGATGAAGCTATGCACTTTGCTGCAACCCTGCTATTTGCAGGATTTAATGGAGTTGTTGCCACAATGTGGTGAGTTTCACACTCTGAAGTATTTTCCTTTGTAATCACTGATCTTTAATATAGGAGGATGGATGATCGAGATGGACCCAAGATTGCAGATACCTTTTATGAATATCTGTTCAAAGATTGTGGTCCAGACAATCTGCCTGAGCTCAGCAAAGCAGCCAAAGCTCTCCATCTTGCTGCGACCAAGCTTTCCAAGGAACCAGGCATGACTTTTCATCGCTGGGTGCCATTTGTTCACTATGGACTATAGTTGGTTATAAAGTCTCCATCTGCCAAACCTTCTATTACCTGTAAACACCATCACTAGTTCACTTTTCACATATTTTTCCAGTGAAACTGACCCCTAGTTTTCTTATGTATAGCTACTTGGAACTTTGAGTTTGATTCTCATGGGATTTATGATCTGGAGCTCATGTATACAGTATCCCTGCAAGTACAGATTAATTTATCAAAAGGTAAGATACAGGCAAAAACCCCAAAACTGGGTGGTCATGGATTGAACAAACATATGAGGAAAACAGCGAGTGAGAATTCCCAACAGCAGAAATAACAGTCTCCAAAATCCAAACCAGCAATGGGTGGGCAGGGAGACTTGAAGCTAGGGTTATGTGCTGAGGAAAACAAGCTGTCCGATGATATGTATGAGCATGCAACTCTCACCTGCTTCAAAGCTTGCATAGAAATTGCACTAAGGAAGCGAAGGGTTATTAGTGTTTGTCTGCTGTGCGCACTCCTTTTATCAGGTCCGGCCCACCCAGTGGTTGACTGCCATTGTTTTTTCAGTGAAGTTGAAATCTGCTGGCTGCAGCCAGGACAGGACTCAAAGGGAATGTGGATGTGTTTCACAAGGGGGAAACGTCAGTACCCAAGGCGCGAACGAAAATTACGGTTTTGGGAAGATTTTTTATGCTCACAAACGAATGTGGGTACTTCACTGATCAAGTTGTAACCTACTAGATTGTCTGGAATAATTCAAGCACAATCAGTCATGGAAAGAAACCAGTGAGAAATTCTATTTTGAATGGGCTGGCCAAGACAGCCTTTCGGGGCAGAAATCATGTCTAGCAATCCCAAACCAGGGACGATTGAGCTGAATTTTTGGGATAGTCAACATATGAATTATTACCCTGGGGCATTTTCTAGTACACTCAAACATATTCTGGAAAAGAAATGTTGAACAAGCTCTATCTACCCCACCCCTCAACCAAATCCAGCACGGAAACGACCCAGGCAACCTACTACTAGTCCCCCTTCACATTCCTGGCCAGCAGAATTTGCCACAGGTGCGTGTCGGAAACACTAATTAGGATGTGTCGCATCCATTGTCGGCCACCATCAAGTCACCGCGATCACTCCTTGGCTTCCGCCAAGAAGAAACCCGGGCCAAAGGCCAAGAATAAGGAAAGATCTGATCGAGCCCATTGAAGAAGAGCAACCCAAACCTGTAAAGAAGAAACCAGGGCCGACCCAAACCCAAACTCAAAGCTAAGCCAAAGCAAAAACCAAAGAGTCTGTCGTGGCTGCGGGTTTGACATGCACCGGGGTGGATCAAACCCACTCACTGATATGTATTGGTTTTGGAAATACATATCCAGTTCCACACACCACCATTGCTTGCTCCTCAGTTCCAGCAACCTCTGAGTCCCAGCTTCACTGCACATTGTGCAACGTATTGCATGTATGAATGCACAGTGCACACCAGGTGGGAAATCGACTGCAACACCAGGTCCGGACTCGGAATCGATGTTTACTTCCTTGACTTGCATACGTACCTACACTTGACCTACACCGTTTTCAGAAGGGCTCTTTACTAAAAGGTTGGGATTATCGGCGCTATGATATGAATTGAATCCCATCTGATTTCCTTGCATGAAATTTCGAGTGAATCCATGCTTGGTTTCTGGTCTGGAGTGCTTCATTTTATTTCAGGAATTTCGACTAACATGCATGGTGAAAAAAGGGAGAAAAAAAGATAACTATCATTGCCCTTGGACGATGTACCGGCGGGGAATCGAACCCGGTCACTGGTACTTGCATTGCAGTACTAGAGCGTGGAGTCAGTGTGTGTGTGCCATACACCACCGGTGCTTTCACCTTTCACCTTTCTACACCTACAGGTACATATGTACAAGTCCTCATTTAATGCAGCTGTAGCTCCTGTGCATCTGTGCTCTCTAGTCACCCATTCACTGCAAATATTTTTAATTTGTTTTTAAGCCAGGTTATGTAAGTTCTTTTGCAACCAGAAAGAATTCAATTCACGAAAACAAGGCAGCTGAGTTTTGAGATGGGCAAGTTCCTCTGTCCTGATAAGGAAGGAACCTGATTTTCCGAGCCCAATAGCCTCCCTTGTTCTGTGTGTAAGACAAGAAAAAAAGGCATGTGAGATAGATGGATGGATCCAGTGGACCAGTTCCGGTGTACCTCCGAGTTGCAGTGCATGTGCATATTGCATACGATACTGCAGGTACGAATACACACGCAGTGCACAAGGCGAGAATTCGACTGCATTGTTGACTTACATATGTACATACCTACACTGTTTTCAGAAGAAAAGTTGGGATCATCGGCGCTCTGAACTAAACCCCATCTGACTTCCTTGATTTTTTTTTTTTTCTTTTTGGAGAATCTATGCTCACATTCTGATGGTTCTGGTCCAAAGTGCTTCATTTTATTTCAGGAATTTCGACCAACATTCATAGTGAACAAAAAATCCACACTTCTATGAGCTATGCACCGGCGGGGAATCGAACCCCGTCACTGATACTTGTGTTTCGGTACTGCAGCATGCAGTCAGTGTGTGTGCCGTACACCACCGGCGCTTTCTCCACCTACGTGCATATGCACTTCAAAGATACTGCAGGTACAAATGCAGAGTGCACACGGAGTGGGAATTTGACTGCAGCATCAAGGTGCTTTTTGGACGGTCCGACTTCGTTGACTTACATATATGTACATACATACCTACCCTGTTTTCAGAAGAAAAGTTGGGATTATCGGTGCTATGAATCAAACCCAATCAGGATTCCTTGCAAGATTTTGTGTTTTGAGGGAATTCATGCTCACATGCTGACTTGGTCTGGTCAGGAGTGCTTCATTTCATTTCAGGAATTTCAACTAACATTTGCGGCGAAAAAAAAAAGGAAGAATTTATCGCAGAATGCACCGGCAGGGAATTAGAGAGTTTGCGCAGCAGCCATCAGCGCCACTCAGTGGCTGATTTGCAGTGCGCAAACGAGTGGCTCCACCTGCCAAAAATAGTTCCCAGTGGCTCCAACAGCCATCCGCGGAGATATTTGGCGGGTGGAGCCACTCATTTGCGCACTGCAAATCAGCCACTGAGTGGCTCCAGTGGCTCCTGTGCAAACTCTCTATTGAAACCCCGGCACCGATACTGATGCTTGCACTATCTTATGCTGGAACATGTAGTCAGGGTGTGTGCCATACACCACCGGTGCTTCCTCCCTTCTCCTTTCTCTGCCCATGTATGTACACATACAAGTTCCAACTCTCATTCAAATGACTCAATGCATCTAGCTCTTTGCTCACCCACTCACTTTATGTAAGTATATCTAGAAAGATAAATAAACCCCAGCATTTTGTTGTTATGCTTTTCCGACTTATAAGGAACCTGTTACCTGATTTTCCAAGCGCAAAAACCTCCCTTCTTGGGTGTGTGAGACAAGAAAAAACGGGCGGGAAATTATGTACCGGGGGGGAATCGAACCCCTCACTGATACTTGTGTTTCAGTACTGCAGCATGCTGTCAGTGTGTGTACCATACACCACCGGTGCTTTCTCCCTTCTCCCTTCTCCACCTACAGGTGCATATACACTTCAACTCAACCCTCATCCAACGCATGTGCAGATGTCCTTCCGTATCTCTCTACTCACCCTCGCTCTACCCAAAAAGAAACTCCACGGACAGTGGACTGACAGTGAATCTATCAGCAGCTGCTGGGCCCGTCGGTGTGCCAGATAGAATAGATCTAGAATCACCTCTCGTGTCTCCACCAGCCCAAGGCACGAACTTGTCTGATAAATAAGAAACGAAAGAACTTGTCTGATAAATAAATACATAACTGATTTCCCCCCCCCCCCCCCCCCCCCCCGAACTCAGACTCTTGTTGGACTCGGAGGGCAGGGGCGGGTGAAAAGTATAATGAATTAAAAAATACATCGTGCACCCTTTATCATGCACCGGGGGGAATCGAACCCCCTCACTGACTACTACTTGAGTACAACTTGAGTATATAGTCAGTGTGTGCCATACAGCACCAGCACCGGTGCTTTCTCCCTTCCACCTATATGTACTTGCTTGTTCAATGCCGCTGTTGAGTCTGGAGCTCACTAATCTACTTCCGCTGCTTCAAGGCCGGAGGGATTTCGGAATAAATTAAAAAACCCAGCACTTTCTCTTTCGTGCCGGAAGTTTTTCTGTTTTCGAAAAGAAACTCGTGAGGAAAAATGGATGAAAACAACTTGAACAAGTCAGCTGAATTTCGGGAATCGGTGGCAGTCACTTTTGGCAGTGTACATTCGAGCGAACAGCCGTCAATGCCGGCCTTTCCCCCTTTATTAACTTAGCGCGACTTGGGCGTCTGATAAGCTGCCGTCGTCGCCGACGCCTAGGGCCCAACTTGGATATCCATTTGTCAGCTGATGGATGCCATACACCACCAGCGCTTCCTCTCTTCTCCTTTCTCTGCCCATGTATGTACATACAAGTTCCAACTCTCATTCAAATGATTCAATGCACCTAGCTCTTTGCTCACCCACTCACTTTATGTAAGTATATCTAGAAAGATAAATAAACCCCAGCATTTTGTTGTTATGCTTTTCCGACTTATAAGGAACCTGTTACCTGATTTTCCAAGTGCAAAAACCTCCCTTCTTGGGTGTGTGAGACAAGAAAAAACGGGCGGGAAATTATGTACTGGCGGGAATCGAACCCCTCACTGATACTTGCACTACCTTGTGCACTGCCCAGTGTGTGCCATACACCACTGGTGCTTTGCACCTACATACATATGCACTTCAACTCTCATTCAATGCTGGTGTGTCTGTGACTCTCTACTTGCTCACTCTGCATCAAGCCCCGCTCAGCAAGGACTCGGAGGCTGTAGGTATTTCAGAAGAAGTAAAGACCCGCACTTCTTTTTTTGTGCCAGGTTTCGTTTTCCGAAAGAAACTTTATGGACAGTGGACTTCAGATGGCGAATCTATGTATCTGCTATGCTGGGCCCATCGGTGTGCCAGATAGAAAAGAGTGTCGGCATGGCTCTCCACCAGCCAACTTGTCTGATAAATGCATAACTAATTTTTCCCGAACTCAGACTCTTTTGTTGGACTCGGAGGGCAGAGGGGCGGGGCGGGTGAAAAAGTAAAATAAAAATAAAAATGCAGCATTCTTCGACAATGCACTGGCAGGGAATCGAACCCCCTCCCTGATATCTGCTTGTACTACCTTGTGCACTGCCATGCAGTCTGTGTATGTGCCATACACCACCGGTGCTTTCTCCTCTCACCCCCTAAGTACATATGCACTTCAACCGTCATCCAACGCAGCTCTCTTCCATATCTCTCTACTCACCCTCGCTCTGCAAATATTGCTGAATAAACACCCAGCACTTTCTTTTTGTGCCATGCTAGGTTTTAAAAAGAAACTCCATGAACTGAGGAGGGTGGAGGGTGGAGGGGAGTGAATATATCAGCGGATGCTGGGCCCATCGGTGTGCCAGAGAGAATAGAATCACCCATCACATCGTCACAGCTGTTTACCAAAGAGAACAGAAAGATAAATACATAACTGATTTCCCCCCCCCGAACTCAGACTCTTGTTGGACTCGGAGGGCAGAGGGGCGGGGCGGGTGGAAAAGTAAAATAAAAATAAAATAAAAATGCAGCATTCTTCGACAATGCACTGGTGGGGAATCGAACCCTCTCACACTGCTAGTTGAGTATATACTATATAGTCAGTGTGTGCCATACAGCAACGGTGCTTTCTCCACCTATGTGTACTCTTAACTCACTGAATGCAGCTGTTGTGTCCATATCTCTCTCTACTCACCCTGCTTCAAGCCCCGCTCAGTAAGGAAGCTAGAGGTATTTCAGAATAAGTAAAGACCCGGACCCGGCACTTTCTTTTTGTGTTTTCCAAAAAGAAACTTCATGGACACTGGATTGAGGAGGGTGGTGAAGTGTCATCACCGCTCTCCACCAGCCAAGGGAACGAACTTGTCTGATAAATAAACACATAACTGATTTTCCCCCTCACAGACTCTTGTTGGACTCGGAGGGCAGGGGCGGGTGAAAAAGTAAAATAAAATAAAAATGCAGCATTCTTCGACAATGCACTGGCGGGGAATCGAACCCTTCACTGACTACTACTTGAGTACAACTTGAGTATATAGTCAGTGTGTGTGCCGTACAGCACCGGTGGTGCTTTCTCCCTTCCACCTGTATACAGATGTACTTCAACTCTCGTCCAATGCCGCTGTTGAGTCTATATCTCTCTACTATAGTATAGGTACTCACCAGGCACCTGCCTAAAGGCCCCGCTCTGCAAGTATTTCCCCATTCTGTGCCAGGCAGGTTTCGTGTTTCCGAAAAGAAACTCCAGGAGGAAATCATGGATGAAAACAACTTGAAGTCGGGACTCGGAGCGAGTAATTATAAGCTGAATTTCGGAATCTGGTGGCAATCACTTTTGGCAGTGTACATTCGAGCGAACAGCCGTGTCGTCAATGCCGGCCTTCTACGTTCCTGGTGCCTGCCACTGAAGTCTTGCTGAGGCCTTGTGCCTTGTGCCTGCCAATGCCCGCCCCCGACGCTCGCATCGTCGGCCATCTGACTGCGGAGATATATGATCATTCCTTCGAATATTCCTTCCTGCTTTCCATAGGGACCCGTATATTGCGCTGATATTCTGCACAATAGCCGATCCGAGACCGTGCATCCAATCTGTGCAGAACCACAGAGGCTGTTGAGATGCGACACAATTTCTCGGTTGTAGGTCAATGGAAGATTCTTGTGGCGCGGATAAACGGCTGCATGATATGGTTTGAGGTACGACAATGCAAAAATTTAAAAGTGCGTGTCTGAAGAAACCATGCTTGAGATTTTCTCGCCCATCTTGCTCAAAGAAATGCAGCAGCGCTACGTTCACCCCTCTGTGCCTCGTTCCTCCCCCGTGCCGCTGGGACCCAGCGCTTCGGGAAATCTCCCCCCTCGCCCTGACTATACCAACTTGAATATTCGTTGCCCCTCAGAAATTTGGTTGAAGAGCGCAAACCCGGGATGGATTGGTCAGTAAATCTCTATTGTACTTGTAATTCATGCCTGTTCTGACTATTTTAGATGGTGCTTCCAACCCTCCCATCTTCTTCACCAATGCGGACGACATTATCACCACCATGCTCACTTGGAACCCCGAACATCCGATGTTCCAGCCCACCCGCAAGCAGCCCACCGGCAATTCTATGGATCCCATGGACTCTACCGCCCCTCCTGCATACCCTGGTGCAGGAACTGTACAAGAGGCGCCGGTTCCCGAGGCTCCAGGTTGGTCCTTTGCTATCCTACGCTATTTGCGATGTTTAACGTACCGTTTTCAGCCCTCGCTTCCGCTGGATACCAGGTCTCCGTCGTTGTTCAGTACACTACTGCCGACACAAGCAAGCCCACGCTCCGCTCCAAGGCTGCGGTCAAGCATATCAAGAGCACCAAGCTTGCTATCGTCGACATGAACAATATGGACAGATGCACATTCATCAAATCCATCCTCGACGTTCACGAATACGGCACCGACTACAGTCCTGGA